GCCGGCCCAGCTGTCACCTTGTTTGTTATTCCCTGTCTCGTCCCTCTAATGTGATCGTTTTTTAAAAAGTTATTAATATCAAAGACCCATTTGAGAGTCCCACAAAAGCAACATGGATGATGCCCCACCCCCAGTTGCACATACTGAGCAAACCGCGTCCAGCTGCACGTTACCGACCTGCACGCCCGGCTGACCTCGCGTCCCGGCGCGAGCGGCGCCCCAAGACCCCCTGACCTTGGCGCCCCCGAGGGCCGCAGGCGGCCTTTCCCCGGGCAGGAGGACTGTGACAGGGTGCCGTTTCTGTGTTGTATTTCTTTTTGAAGGCGCTTTTTTTTTTTACGTATTGGCCCATATGTTGCCCCGACAGTTGGTTTGGGCAGATTTTAAATAGTCTTACTTTTCTCGGCAAGCTTGCTGGCTGGTGTTTGTTGGGCCTGCGTTGCTCCAGCTTCGTGTGTGATCAGTAACCATACTCAATAGAACCTCGGAACCAGCAACTGTTAGCCCAGGTTTCCTAAAGAAAAAGCATGTTCTTTAAAATGTGTTTTCCCTGGAAACACATATTAGTGGCACATGATGCATGCATTTACTGTTTCTGAATTTAAAAATAAACTTGAAAAATGTAATGCAATCCGTTTGAATTGTTGTGTGCTTTTATAGCACAACAATTGGAACTGGCCCTGTTGGAGAATAAGTTCATCGCAGATGTAATGAATTAAGATGAGGCCATACTAAAGCTGGGTGGGTCCCTCATCTAATATAACTGGTGCCCTTATAAATAGGGAAGAATTGAGCACAGATACAGCCATAGAGGTAAGGTTATGTGAAAAGACACAGTGAGAAGGTGGCCATCTACAAGCTAAAGAGAAAGGCCTGGGTTAGATCCTTCCCTTACAGCCTACAGGTGAGGCCAACCCAGCCCATTTACATTCATTCTTGACTCCATCACAGCAGAGAACAGGAAAACATTTCTATATTTAACCTACTTTTACCGTTGATGCCAAGACTTCACTCTCACGGTGTACTTCCTGACCGAGAAATAACATTGAGATGCACAGTGACGTGAAAAGGGAAGTAAGTTCTAAGTGGGATATAGACAGTTGTTGGTTATAGAGCAACCCTTTTTAAAAATAAAAATTATATACAGAATCTGGTAGTACAAACAAAAAAAAAAATCTAACCCCAAATGTAGTTCTGAAAAGATGGATTAAATATACAAGAAGCCTAGTTCACTATTATGAATTACCTGGCATACTGTTATGACAAGCAGAGAACTGAAATTCCTATAAAGAGGTAATACTAAAGGTGTTTCTCATTGTGTTTTGAATCTTGCTATGGTTCAAGATGGGAAAATAAGATGGTATTTCTAAAACTCAACTTTAGAACCATTTCTTTTCAGGAACACGCCAATTTCATATATTCTAAAATAACTTTTGAAGTTTATTTTTATTAAAATGATGCATCTTTCTAAAGATGATAAAGAGGAAAGTGATTGCTCTTCATTTTTTAAAAAAAGTGTAAAGCAAAATCTAGCAAGGGCTTGTGATTTTGAATAGTATACTTAATATTCCTAGGCTTTTGATTGAGAAATTATAAAATGACATTTTGGGGAATCTAGTGCCATTCAACTTTTAAATTTATGATTCTATAATTCTGTGAATATGTAATCATAATGTGGGGAAATATATACTTTAACTTTTGTAATAATTAGGTGATCAAGAGATTATAATTAAAATTTTAAAAGATAACATGGGTTCTAGGAAATTCTTTGGTTATGAACACCAATTAGTTGTGAACCCCGCTACTTCACAACAGTATTTGATTACATAAAAGTTTATAACTACCCACATGTAATAAACTATATAACCAAATTTTACATATACAATATTGCTGTTATCTTAGTCTTCTAGTAAAATGATCTTACCAGAGTTTTCCCCTTCCTAAATGAGACCAATATAGCACTTTATTTGCCAAACTTTGCCAGAGTTCAGCATCTCACAAATTATAACATAAATATTTAGCAACAAAATAATTATGAATTAGGCTTGAAGCTGTTTCCAATATAAGTCCCCTATCCTATAAGTATAAATAGCTATTCTGTAAACTGAAATTCATCCATAGCAGTGTCAATCTGGCAGGATTATGTAGAAATAAATGATCTGGGTTTTGCTAGCTATTGAAATTCCTATCATTTATTCAGTCAGTTACATTAAGAATTTGAACTTTTCATAATCTGATAATAAAACCAGATAGCAAAATCCTGAGTGAAAGAGAATATCCTATATAATAAAGAGCTAATATACAAATGGTCGTCATGCCCTCGTGCCCAGGCCAGGGGACCTGAGGCTGCGCCCCCCCCTATCCGATGGGCCTTGATGGGGGACTTGAGGCTCCGCCCCTCGCCCTACAGGGCTTGATGGGGGTGGGGCCGGCCAGTTGTGGGTGTTGCCCGATTTCAAGGCACGCGTAGGTCAGCGGAGATTTGACTCTGGGTCTCGCGGCATGCCCCAGACTCTGACAGGAGGGAGATTTTCATATGTATTTTACTAATTTTCTTTCATCTCTGATACTGCTATTATAGAGAAAGGGCAAATAGCAATATTAAAATATTTCCTCTAATTAATTCCCTTTTAATATGCATGAATTGTGCACCGGGCCACTAGTTTTATATATATATTTGGTAACCACCACCACCACCACCACAGAGCAGTAAACAAATTCTCAATATTAACTCATACAGTTAGCCAAAATGTAGTATACTCTACGTAAGATTAGTTGCACATAAATATTGTTCTCTCCAGTTGCATAGTTAATATAAAAAAACTGAAACCATTACTCTGCACATATAATAGCTTCTCAAAGATGAATCTTAATATTTTCAAGTTGTTTCAAAGACAGTGAGGGGAGTAGGATAAGCACACTGAAGAATTATCAAACAGGCACATCCACTTAGGGGGAGATCCCTGGTCTTGAGGGCTAACTGCATATTCACTTTAGAGTTTCAACTTAGTGATATAATTAATGTATTTTTCAATAAATGAAATGAAAATTCTAGGTTAAAAAAATTAAAAACCTCTCATCCCACTGGTAGCATTTTCAATGAAAAAAATGGTAAGCAATGTAATTTTGTTTTTCTTCAAAAAACGTTAACTGGCTGGCCAGCGTGGTTCAGTGGTTTAGCATCAACCTATGAATCAGGAGGTCACGGTTTGATTCCCAGTCAGGGCACATGCCTGTGTTGTGGGCTCAATCCCCAGGGTGGGACATGCAGGAGGCAGCCGATCAATGATTCTCTCATCACTGATGTTTCTATCTCTCTCTCCCTTCATCTCTGAAATAAATAAAAATATATTTAAAAAACACACAACAAGTTAACTATTTTTTTTGAATCATTATGAACTAAATGACAACCAAAAAAGTTATTTGGGGCAGGCGGGGAGGGAGGAGGCAGAAGGGGGGTGGTCAGATTGCAAAATCCATATTTTTAAATACACTGGAGTTATATTGAAGCAATCCGGAAATAATCCAAACTAAAATTCCAGACAGGGAAGAGGACTTCATGGGTATGTTGATAATCTGGGGGAACAATTTCTACATTTTAGGTACAAGAATCAATCTGACTAGGCCCAAATATAAGGACGTTTATAAAGCGAAAGAGAATCGACTAAGTTTTTAGCAATTATGTGGGGTTAACACAATCATTTGGAAACTAGAGGACACATAAATGTATGTAATGATCTATTTTCCACACAGATAGGCTGAATTCTCAGATGGTATGAGAGGCTAGAGAATTGTGTCAGAAGCCTCTAAAAGACAAAGTGAAATCTAGGGTTTCATTGAACTTTGTAGACAAGAGTCTGGCTGGACTGAGAGGGTCTGCCAAAAGCACATCATTGGTCTCTTCCTGAAAACATTTGCTGTATTTTGAAGCTGTGTAGTTAGAAGTGTGGAGAGTCAAGCTTCAAACCCCCAAAGACCAGAATGAATTTTCTCAGGGGTAAGGTGGCAGAGATTGCCAAGACCTCAATCAAAGCCAGCGTGACAGCCCTAGCTGGTTTGGCTCAATGGATAGAGTGTTGGCTTGTGGACTGAAGGGTCCCAGGTTCGATCTGGTCAAGGACACATGCCCAGGTTGTGGGCTTGATCCCCAACAGGGGATATGCAGGAGGCAGCCAATCGATGATTCTCTCTCATCATTGATGTTTCTATCTCCTTTCCTCTCTGAAATAAATAAAAATGTTAAAAAAAAAAAAAAAG